ATCAAATCATATACATATATGAATGATTCAAATGAAATAAGAATTAGAAATGAGCACGGTAAGAGTCAAAAATATTGAGTAGCGTTCAATATAACGTCTTTGAGTTTGTTGAAAGAGAGTTTTTTATAAGTTAAAAGAGAAAAATTTTGTGTTAGTCATAACCTTGATACAAAAGCCTAGGTCCATGAGCGGTTTTTAGAAATCCGTGGACGGTTGACCGCAAGCATTAAAAACTTGGCGTTAAAAAATGTCGATCATTTTACGAGCACGATGAGCTTCTTCCGCGGATCCCTCCAAAGACACAACTACAATTCACGACTTTCCTATAAAACCATTACATCGTGTCTGTATAATTCTTTTACCACAAACAATGTCCATAGCTAATTTAATTTGAGAGTGCAATTGGAACTACTATTATTTTACACAATCTGGGAACTTTTAGTTCACATCCTTTATCTCTTTTTGAAGTTTGAAGCAAAACAAAACACAACATTGTTTTGTTTGAGCTTGAACACATAGTACATATTTCACGAAGTTCATAGTACACTCAAAGTCTTAACCTTATATAATTGTGAACAAAAGAATCATTCATAGCCTGAACTTGATTATGAATATAGTTGTTTCTCTTAAGTAAGCACCTCCATGTTAAGTACGCAAAATCTTTCTATGATCAATTTGCGTACTTAATCGGAAGTTTATTATATGGTCTAGGGTCAAAGTTGAATGTTGTAATTATACAACGTTCAATTACGGTGAAAATCTTAAAAAAAAATGTACATAAAATATATACTCAAAATCAATATTATCATTTTGACATCTGTATATACCACTAGGGTTTAGAGAGAAGTTCACTTGAAGACCAAAAAATATAAATTTTGAAAATGAGAGATACCAATAATGAATCTACTTTATTTTGTATAGATTTTACCAACAGATACAACGAGATAAGATCACATCCTCACCATCCGTTGCATTCTTAGTGAATGAATGACATGACGGATAACTCTAATAAGCACACATATTGTTCAACTGCTGCTATCAACTAACACACTCAATTCTTAACTAACAAGCACACAGATCGTTTACGTGACGTTGTGAATTAGCACACTTACTCTCAAACTCTCAAGCACAATGACTTTAGAATGCACAATGACTAATGCACTCTAAAGTAACTTAAATAGTCTCGACTTTAGTTCTAACTAACTAAAGATGGTTACACTTGACTTACAAACTTACAAAATGAAATTTTGACAATCAAAGAGTTGTCTTGTAAAATCAACATGTCTCACAATATATGTAATATTTGCTACATATTAGATACATATTCAAATTTTACTAAAATTGTAAACATAAAAGCTTTATAACGATACATATTATACATATTAATAAATTTGAAACATTATAAATTATGAAAAATAGTTCAAGCCGATTGAATGAAGTTGGTATATTTTTGTGAAAAAAATTTGCAAACAAACAAATGATTATGAATTGTAATCACATGAAAATGTTATGAAAATGGATCTTATTGATGCTGCAAATTGAAAAATGAAATTTTGCTTTTTCTTAAATGTAGTTAGAAAAGAAAAATGTCAGTAAAATAATTTTGCAAAACTAACAACTTAAATCAATGAATTTTTTTTATTTAGCTAATCTCTTTAATTTGAATGATGATCTTAGAAAAAATAACAAATAATAATATCAACACAAATATAAAATATTTAAATTGCAACATATAAAAATATATTTAATCTAAGAAATTTTAATATATAAATAATTAATTATTAATTTACATAACACATTTCTCTAATTAACTGAAATAAAAGAAATTTGAAATAAATTCATTATCATTGATATACATATCTTCTATCTTATACAAATTGCTTTTGTATTTTTGGTGTTTATTCATACATATAATTCTATGAATAATAGATTTGAAATTTAATGAAATTTTCTCAATTATTATGAAAATGTTAAAAAATTTATTATCATTTATATAAAAAATTAAAAAAATAAATTTTTTTTATAAATGAACATTTTTTAACCGTTCCAATTTAAAATTTATCTTATTAATAAATATTTATTGATAAGTGAAAAAATATAAAGAAAGAAAGAAAGAAAGAAATATTAAATAGTATATTTTGTCTTTTAGTCTTCTGAGGAATTTTCTCAGTTAATGAAGATATTTATTTCGTGAACGTGAAAATTTATCTATTTGTTTATTTTTAGAAGCATTTTTCCTCTACTAACTATATTTTTTTAATAACCTGGACTAAAATATTAAAAATATCTCATATTTATGCATGTATTGAAATTTTGGAATAAAAATAAATATTTTTACAAGTGCTGATAAATATCAGCCTTTTTATAATATATTTTGTTAGAAAAAATCAGGCTTATTTTTTTAAATTTAATTTCTTTATCTGAAAACGAATATAAATTCGATATCCTATATTGAAGAATCGGATTGTTTGTAATTTAGGCTTATTTGAAAAAATTAAATTATTTAAACTGAATATATTCATATTAATTATATATGAACTCACTAATCGAAACTATTATTGCACCGATTTTGTTGAAGGTTTTTTTTAATTTCAGTTGTGTTACTCTGTATAATTGTCAAAGAGGATAAATTTGATACCTGTTGTTATGTGAAGATTACAATTTTCACAGATTTTTTATCATATTGGAGTAAAAAATTATACAATGATGTTGATTAAATTTGGATATTCCATATTTATAATATTCATGTGAATCATTTTTTCATCATTATAGAAATTTGACAAAATAAAGTAATATGTTTATTATTTCGAAATTACTTTTTAATAAAGATATAATATAATATCATTAGATTTTTATGTATGTAATAACCATATTTTATATTTCAAAATTTTCTAATTACATAATTCATCTAATATATTTTTAACAATGATATATTTCTTAGAATATGAACATATTTGAAATAAGCGCAGAATCCAAATCTGTGATTTAGAGTTTAGAATTTATTTCTTTGTTTTGATTTGTTGTATTCACTTTTTTTAATAATCGTGATGAAATCAGTTAATTTATTCTAATGAAGTTTCAAAATAGTTGTGTTTACTCATTTTCAAAGCACATAAAATTCCTTGTCTCATTCAACATTGACTCTTATGTTCAAATGGAGTACAATTAAAATGGTATAATTAATTACTTCATCAGTATCACATGATCATTACTTTAGTTTTTTTCATTAAAAATTAATTCATATTATTAGACAATTTTAATAAGATTATATTTAGAATTAATAAACTGGATATACCAACTGATAATTGCTAATCAGATGTGTCACTGAAAAATATTGAAAATCTAAGGTTTTGAATGTCTTCACAGAATGATACAAATATTGATAAATCAGTTTCAAGATTGAGTAAACTATCTATATTTTGAATAATCAAAATGAATAGATTGATATATTATATGTGTTGAATAAAATGTTAACTAATTTGGATTGTTCAATGAGTGATACATGTTGGATTTTGAAAGTAATTTCATCAACCTACATAATCACATCATGCACTTGGTTTTTGCTTCCGTTAGTCACAATAATTGCATCAAACTTTAAGACAGAAGTATATTTTACCATCTCCCGGTCACGTTTTGAGTTGCTTAAGGATTTTTGTTGTGCATCATTGTGAAGGAAAAGCACGTGTGGCACGTTAAACATACCTTACTGCAGCTGGGAGTGATACACAACTTGGAAGCATGCAGCACACAATGTCTGGATATGTTTTAATTTGTTTACAGCTGCCTGCCAAATGGACACCTGTATATTTGTGTGGGCAAACATTACCAACGAGTCAAGGCAAAAGCTGTCAACACATGTCTATTTTTTTTAAATCCAAGGAGAATCATATAAATTAATAATTATACGGGGGAGTGTAGCTTTGTTGGAATTCAAGGAAATGATTATTCATATAAAATTAATACAATAAAAGTTATCAAGAACAGGGGAGTGAACTACATACATGTTTGGAGGTTTTACCGAGTAAGTATATTGTTGGTTCATCAAAGACGATCTATAAATAAATTCTTTAGATATAAGCGAGGGAGGTGGATGCTTAGGAGCTATTTTGGGGTACATATGCACTTAGTTGGACGAATACAATTCGACAATGAAAAGAATTGTAGTCCACTGTGAAAACAAACAGAGTTCCAGTCGCTTTTTCCTACTCGCCAAAAATGAGCATGTCCACGAGTATTTGATCGCTTTTAGGTACTCGACAGCCGCCCTAACCATTCAGGGAAGTCGACTGTACATCCAACATGTTGTTAAGATTGGTATGTGTGCCCACGTTTCGATCGAGGTTGAGAAGTGTTTTTGGATTCGAAGGAACGAACCTCGATTGATGGAGGGGTCCCAAACACACCAAATCAACGGAATGTTCAATACGTCGCGCTTCATGTCAACCCCTTCGTGCCAAAAGTTGCGAAGGATGTCAACCGAGGGAAGTCTTTGTGCGAAGGTCCGAAGGTTGTCCCTCTCACGAAACCGGTCGTAACAGAAGCTCGTGACAAATCGCACGATCGACGCTGCGGTGTCTAGCGGCGCCCATCCACTCCACGGAACCAAATCACAATAAAGGCACAAAGAGAATAAAAACATTCACATTTGACTAACGCAAAGCAGCTCGGCCCCGTGACACAAATGGCAACGCCGCTCGGCAGCAACGGAAAACTCCGGCGGGTCGAGTCATAAACGACCACCACATTTAGCCAAAGTTAAAAATAGCCAACAAATTAAAGAGCGTGGACTGTCGTCATTACCAAAGTCAAACCTGGTACAGAGACCCTCCCGGCGGATCCTGCCTGCCTGCCTGCTGCCTGACTGCGTCCTGCATCCTCCTGCCCGCACTTACCAGAATACGCTCCAACTTTGCGGCAGTCAGGCTTACGGACGCCCGTACAGGGTTCGAAATACGGCGGTCCTGGGACGCCAGTGCGATTGCGCATCGTGGCCCGCGGCAGGTCCGGGCCCGCTCGTCGGCTTCGTTCCATCTGCTGGCGTATGGTGCGTTGGGCTCTTGCGGGCCTCGGTTGCGGTTGGGCTCGGATCGAAGCAGAGAGAGCCGAAGTACGGTGGATGTACATATCTGGAAGGAGGGAGGAGCGCAGGGGATCTGATCTTGCTGCTGCGAGTCTTGTGCCATCGGGGGGCCTCGGAGGGCATGGGGCTCATGTGACAGTGTCGCGGTCAGATCGGTCCGACTGATGCCTGAATTGCATTGAAGCGGGGTTACTTGCTGCCTGCGCACGCAGAGAGATGGAGATTCCAGCGCAGGGCCGCAGTGACGGGAAAGCGGAGAAAGTCCGGCCGAACGGACAATAGAAAGAAGGAAGGAAGGAAGGAAGGGCGTGCAGTCAGTCTGTGACAGAGAGCTGAGCAGGGCAGGGCAGGCAGCAGAGAGCCCCTTTTCTGTCTTTCTTTCGCTCCGCTTGGCGTCGCCTTTGGCCTACTTTCGTTTCTTTTCCTGCCCCCTTTCCTTAAAAGGCTCCCACCTCCAACACCTCCAGTGGCGTGCGTTCTATGGTCCAGTGCCCGTCCCGTCCCCCCGCTACCTCCTCCGCGTGTTCCGTATATTAGACTCGGCTCTGGGCGACTTTCATTCCCCTCCGCCTCTGCTGTTGTAGGAGCACCCTTTGCCCCGAGCGAGTGAGCGAGCGAGCGGCTGACTGACAGTCGAGTCGAGTCGACGCCCATCGAGCTGTAGTGGCCTGAGGTGCTTTTGGGCGAATGTGTCCAACTCGGACGAGGAGTGAGCACTTCTTGGACTCCCGTTAAATCTTTGCCTGCGATTCTACTCCTGCTCCTCCTCCTCCGTCCTCTTGCTCCTCGGGCCTTCCTGTTCTGGTTCTTACCTGCTCCCTCCCTTTCTCCCTCCCTCCCGCCCGCCCGCCTGCGCCTTGGTCAAAGATCCCGTCTCCACTATCGCTGTCTGCGTCTGTCGACAAGCACGTCGCCATGAATTTGCTGCTCCTGCAGCCCCCCACCTGAAGCTTCTGGGTTTTCCCCCATTGTGGGCTGCCTGCCTTCCTGCCTGCCTTTAAGTTGACACAATTCTCCACCATTTGACTTCGCCTCTCTTCACCGCTCTCGAGCATTATCCGCTCAGGCTCCCGTTCGGGCTCGACTCCTCTCGCTGCACGTATTCGGGCTATACAATTGGTTGGGCTCTGGTCCGAAGGTTGACGCGGCGTTCTCTCTGCCCCGCTCTTTTCAACCCCATCCCCCTCCCTCCCATCCTGCATCCTGTTCCGGCCTCGGTGCTCGAGTGATTTGAACGAGTGACTGCATCTTGAGGATCTTTCTTCCCGAGGAGACCCCTTCGTTGCCTTCGCGGCGAATTTTGCACCTGCAGGTTATGGTGGTGGTCGTCTTCCGAGGATAGTCAAGTCAGAGGCGTTTCAGATTCCGACGCATTGGTAAATATTGGATAATTGTCTCGTGGTAGCGGGATTGTGATTTCTTGCAAGAATTCGACGGGCGTGGTCGGGCTGAGCCCGGTAGAGTGGAGGCACGTCGGAAGTCCGATTGACAGCAAGAAAGAGCTCTTCTTCCGTGTCTCGATAAGAGTCGTGATCTTGCCGTCGTCGGCTTGACCTGTACCTAGCTACTAGGCCGAGTCCGTGGAGAAACTCAGATAGGCCCGTCGACCATCGTGCTGACTTGTCAATTACGTCACGAGCTTCAATGGTGGGGGTTCGCTAATGTCCGCAGATAGTGACGGGTTCTTGGAGTTTCTGCCGAGCGATTTAAGTCTTAAAGAATCATGCCAGGATCAGGCATGTCTCCATGCGCTGCCTGCAAATTACTGAGACGACGATGTGCTAGAGACTGCGTGTTTGCGCCATACTTTCCTCCGGACGAACCACAAAAGTTTGCCAATGTGCACAAGGTTTTCGGAGCAAGCAATGTCAACAAAATGCTGCAGGTTCAGATCAGATACCTTGCCTCGAATGTATCGTCGTGCATTTAAAAATAATGTGGCACGGTTTCCAGTCTGCAGTCGATACCAGAAATAGTTATTTTGCTTCTTTTCCTCGTGGTCCGCTGCATTTTAAACTGGGTGTCATTGCAATAAGATGTTATCTATATTTGATACACGCGTCAACATATTCTGCCCGGGGAGCCTAACCCACTACAATTTGGAGCGGCAGATGGTCACAGAAAGAAAAAGATTCCATCTATAGGACGATGTTCAGAGTGTAGTGCCCTTTCTTCCCATATCCTCTCAGACTTCCCTGCTAAGAACAACAGACGACACTTCGAAGATTTCGAAGTGAACCTGAGAATTCTTGAGAGCTGAGCTTGACTGAAGCTATTTGCCAAATAGGTTTCTTTGGACTAAATTTCTGTCTCGTGATGGCTCTTGGACGCGGTCACTGTTTCCAGCAGGAACGGTCGGTTTACTCGAGGCAAAGAAGTAAATGACATGAGCTGGAAATCCAAGAGGCTGTTTTTAACGTGTGATGCTAGTTCGAAGAAAGCGCAGCTGTCATTAAATCCCTCATCTGCCGTTGTACAATGGTAGATCAATTCTCGGGCAAACTATAGACTGACGTGGTTGGTTTGCTGAGAATTTGACACTCCCAAGTTGTCGTCCTCGTTGTAGAAATTCGAGTCAAGCACTTTTTCATAATGGCCACGAAGATCTTCATTGTCAAACGAGTCTGATTGAGCTACGCTTTTCTGACAAAAGCTCGATAGCTCACTAGTCTTCTCTCATGACGTGGTATTGCGTCCTTGGAAAGTTTCGTCTCATGATGCATTTCTTGGGCTTTTTTTCCTCTTTCTGATCTGAGCTTGACGTGATATTTTAATCGCACGTGAACAGGATCTGCCGATACATTCGAGAGGGGATGCCGTGAGCTCCATGGTGTACGAAGCGGATGCAAGAGTGCGCGATCCCGTCTACGGATGCGTGGGTGCAATTTCATCACTCCAACAGCAGGTCGCGCAGCTGCAGACTCAACTGGCGGTGGCCAACGCTGAGATTGTGTGTATACGTATGCATCAGGCCGCATTGGTGTCGAACGCGCACCATATGAAAGACGGAATGGTCACGAACAACTCTCCTCCACTAACGCCGCCCTCTCCAGAACTCAATCACCACATGAAACCCATGATTGGAGGACTCGAACCGTTGGAGCTCACGGAACCTCTTTGGTCATGAGACGAGCCTACGACCAGCAATCGATTCGCCTTTCACTCGGATTATCTTAAGAGGATGAAGCGGGTTCGTGCACACTCAGATTCTTTCACGAAACTGAGCCTCCACGACCAGCCAGCCATTTTACGCACCTCGTTGAAGAGAGTTTTTTTTATCTTTTATTTTTGGTTCCTCTTTTCCTCGTTCAAGATTGTCAATACGTTGTACATTTGTAATACTCGACCCGGTTTGCTAGGAGAGATACAACCTGGGCTCAACCCTCCGTCTTTCTTAGCAATCCTGTGATCGTTCCATATGGCTCAGTGTGATAGCAGTTAGAACAAGGCTGGAGAAGCTGTTCCCCAAAGCGGGTTGAATGCAAAGCAAGGTTGTCGTTCTTGTGAGTGTTAGTGCAGGATGTAAAAGCTGAAACTGGACCGATGAGGCCGTACTCGCTGTTCTTCGTGCCCGCTTCCACTGTCACGTTTTCGGACCTCTCTAGAAATTGTCCCTTACAATCTTGTCGGGATTCTAGCACTTACCCGCTGTTATGCCGATGGCAGCAGCTAGGACTGTACATACCACTGTTTGTCCTCAGAAGGAATTGTCAAGCATCACTCTGAATTTGTCTGCGCCAAGTGGACAATTTCCACTAGACGAAGCTACAGATGAAATGTATCAGTGGGCGCGTTTCCGGCCTTCGCTGTTAAAAAACTCCTGTTCCCTCTCTTCTTGATCTGGCTCGGATTGGTTCGGATTTCTTTCCTGGATGAGATTTTTCATCTGCGGGATGAGCATTGTATTTTCTCTCTGCGTTGACGTGAAATTTTCAGTTGAAACTGGACTCGTTGTCAATAGGGCTGCGGAGTCGGCATATTTAGATCTGTTGTCCAGTCATGAATAACTGTCGTGGTCCGGCTCAGAGTTTGATCAGGGAGTACAGTGCAGTACACCTTTTGCTGCGCGCAGAGGTGGTTCAGCAAAGATCATGGCAATCTTTCTCATCATTTTCGGTCCGAATTGGGGTCATGACGGGCACAGTATGGTCAGGGAGGTGCCGATGATGAAGCCTTTGGGTGTGTCGGAGGTCCTTCCATGTCTGTATCCGCCCATCATCAGGACCGAACCCAGACATGCCTCGAGAAATGACTGACAGGCAGCCTGAAGCAGAACCTCTCAGGCTCTCACAAGACGATCATCGCTTGTGTTGTGTTGGGGTAGAGGCGACCGACCATTTGTCTCTCGAGCCCATGAATCAGAACTGTCAACCTCCATGTATCAGAGGCTCTCAGAACTACCTTCTCTCTCCTCATTTGCTCTCTCAGGTGAGAGCAACGAAGAAAGGGCAGTAGCATGCGGCAGGGCGTTGGGCTTTGGGCTTTGTCCTCCGGACCCAGAAAAGATATGGGATTCAAAATATGGAATCTGATCAGGTTGAAGTTTCTGTCACTGAACAGGGGACAGATGCACCAACTCAAACCTCGTGATACGGGCCATCAAAACTCTGCAGAGGGCTGCATCGAGGGCTTCCGAGGGCCCTTCCCCCGCCCCCTATTTGACTGCCTGCCACGGTCAAGGTGAAAAAATGCCCAAACTTTCTTGCTTTAAGGCGCAAAATCACAAGTCTTGGAGCGCAAGCAAGCACGTGGGCCATCATCTATTTATTATTCCCCCTTCCAAATGCGTTTTACTGCCTCGTCAGAGCAGAACAATTTTGGCTACAACGTATTCGATAAACAAAACTTCCAAGCGCTCGACTGACATTCGGTTTCATTCTTCCATGTGCTCTAACCTGAACCCTTTCTGCACGGGACCCCACATTCACATGAGATGATAAGCCTATCTGGTCAAGATGACCTCTGTTCTGCAAGCCCAGACATCAGTCAAGTATCATGTGGATGTGCCAGAGCTCATTATACAGACTCTCGGCCCCCCATGCCATAGACTAGGAACCATGCAGCTCCTGCTCTTCCCTGCACATCTCGCTCCCCTCGGGATCTCGAGACCAGCAGCCCCTCCTTTCTCTTCCTCAAGGACCCCAGGACCCCGTCCCCTACCCCTGCCGGCCGGCCACCCGGCCAGCCACCCCCGCCCGCCCGCCCGCCCTCGCCTGCAAACGTTTTATGCGCCCGCATTGACAGTCTTTTCCATCGTCAACACTTCTTTCCCCGTTTGCATGAGCCCCCCTAATTCATGCTGCACATTGGCTATCTGATCTAATCTAAGCCGATCTCGTCTATCTGTTCATCTCGCCCCTCCTTGCGTCTATCTATCCATCTAACCGGCAGACTACGTCCCTGCTACCACATCTTTGGACTTATCCAGTCTCATGTCATACATATGGCAGGTAACCAGCTTCTCCCTCTGCAGCGACGAGGTCTGGAAGATCTCGAGCCATAATTTTTACCACCACGTGAGTATCGAAATAATTGCCTCTTGGTCTGAAGAGAGAATCCACAAGATGCTCTTGCCTTGAGTTGAGGTTTTCTTACATGAGTTCCATGAACTTCCATCCTCCCTTCCTTCTTTGGGCCCCTTCTGGTCTTGGTCAAAGGGCCATCACATCACACACTTGTGCATCATTGAAGCGAGACTGAGCCACTTAACTAAAACTGTTCCAGCGCTGTACAACCTCGCTTCACACACTTGGGGAAAAATCTCATTCACTACTGAAACACGCTGCCTCAATGATGCGCGGCGATGAGAAAATGGTCAATGACGTCAATTGATATTATCTGCGTCCAGAACCGGGGTCGACCGTCTTAAGAGTGTAGCAACGGGAAGTAATAACTCCCCACGGACACACGATCTAGAAGCTTGGACGTTTATTATACAGTTTGATGCTTGAGGCTCAATTTCTTGATGCATTATTCTCCTTCCAATCACTTTTCCATGGAAGGTTTGTCACCTCGTCTAGCATTTAGTTACGACTCCCTCCTTCGTCCTGTCTGCCTTCAGCCAAATACCCCATCTCATAGTTTTTGCCAATTCAGCTCGGTGACGCTGGCCTCTGAGCAAGCTTCCTCCTCCCCGATGCCTCCGATCCCGTATCCCTCGGTCACATCTTTCCAACTACCGCGCCCCAGCGATCTCTAGCAAGCTGAGTCAGTCCAGTCCCCAATAATGAGACTTGTGGTTTGTGGTCTTACGAACTCGACCATCGTTGCCTCATTTTTGCACGTTGATGCAGCTCGAGGTAAGTTTCCGCCACATTTCGTGATCACTTTTCTGTTGAGTAGGGCCACACAAATTTGCCGAGCACAATCCAACTTATGATAAGAGCTTACGACTTATCGGATAAGATGGTTTCTTTCTTTCAGAATATTAGAGGTATCTTGAAATCACACTGTAGCCAACATGAAATCGGAATAAATGGATTGAATGAGCTTTCTCAGTATGAGGGCTTTCGCATTTAAGACGAAAGTATCCAGGAATCAAAAAACAGATAGAAGAGATTATAAAACAAGCGTTGTGGATTGTATTCATGCACTGGACAATTTCTTATTATTTGGCAAACAACGTATGCACATGGAGACATGAACCAAATACTACATAATTATTCTAACTCCGTGTGATTCGGTTCGAAAAGGGCTCCAGAATATATCACAAATTTCGAAGATGACATGTTGAGAACGAGCGACCGCATGAGGGAGAAGTGGCGGAAGGAAAAGAAGGAGAAATGATGTCTCAAAAGACGGGAGAGCACAAAGGTCAAAACGAGGGAATGATGTCGTCCTAGTTACTCTCGTCCCTTGCTCAACTACTCACGGCCTCAAGTTGCTCCACGCTCCGAGACTCAGATCTGCATCTCTCCAAATAGTTGTCTTGCAGGAGACACTCGGCTCAGATGGAAATGCAACTTTTACTGTTCCAAGTTGATTCAACGAACAAGCAAGTGTCATTGTGTCAGGAGCGCTTTCTATCGAGAAGTGATCCTCTAGTGCATCGAGCATCGAACATCATCTGCTCATCAGCTCTCCACCCTATTATCAACTCGCTGCCTCGACTCTAAAGGTGCTCGTTCGCTTTTCAAAGTGAGCCCTGCTTTCCTACGGCGGAAAGAGGGTAAAAAAGGATGTCCAGTTGAATCGGCTCTGGGCAATTGGACGACGACTCGCCCTCACTCTCGCATGACCCGCGAAAAGTGAGAAGAGGAAGCTTAGCAGAGGTCGATTATTGAGCCCTCGGTGCACAACTGGCTCGCCAACGAGTTGAATCGGCCCGTCAAGTACGTTGTGTGCGCGAGGTAACATCGAGATTGCAAGGGATATTTTCCCGTCCGCTTTTGGGACAGATACTCTTGAGGACTCGGGAGAAGGACAAAGCGAGTCCGTCCTCGCCTTCCGCCATTCCATTCTGACAAACAATTATTTCTCGGATGGACGTGGACCGTCTTTCCCTAATTGAGAAGGTGGGGACAGATTTCGGGGCCATCAAGCATAATCCTGACAACCATAACCAGATAAGTCCAACTCAATCAACTGCAAATCCAAGACTTTTGCCTGCATTTCCATCCCTAATCTCCGCCTCTAACTGTAACTGCAAATCTTTCGAGGCCTAATTTAGAGAAACGAACTTTCTACTTATCAATAATTGATGCAGACAGGTTTAGCAAGCCAAACCGGACAAAAGCCCCTATTATCTAGACTCACAAATTTGAAACATTTACGAGTTTGGATGCCTACAGGTGAAGGGGAGGTCTGCGAGCGATCGTGTCACCCTTACATCATGCCACATGAGGCTTGCCTGGGGCTTCATAGATCCAATGATTACTCAAACCTTGTATTTCTTTCTGTCCCACCGTAACCGAAGATAAGGCTCGAAGATGACATCTGATGGAAAACAACATCGAGCACGGAGGCGATTTTCGTTGATCAAATTGCTTCGTTGCGTATTGCTAACGGTCGAAGGAAGGTTCGCGGATGTTTTTAATGTTAGAATCACGTTCTCGTGAGGCTCCGAGCCTGGTGTAGGACGCCACATCAAAAGGTGGATAAGCTCAAGGAGCAAGTGCTCATTCTTGATCATCCGCGTCGACAGAACTTTTCCGTTTCTCGAAAAGTCGCAACTCCGACCGTAAGAGTGTAGCAGATGTGAAAAAGATGTCAATGGCTTTCGAATGAAGATGAAGCGAGAATTTTAATCCACAGAAGGTCGCAACCACTGCTTTTATCTCGATAGCCATCATCATTTATTTGATGCGAGCAATATGTATTTGGTTGAATTGGCACAAAGGGTAAGTGTGTGAAAGGCCCAAATCCAACCTTCGCTTCACACGAATATTAATTACTTGCATCGGAATTTAAGACGGGACTTTGAGCATTTGCACTTACACCCTTTTCTACGTTCAGCGTGTACCCTCAATCGCAGCATGTAGGCTCGATCCTTAGCTTAGGTTCTGTGTGCTCCAATCCTCAATCGATCGTCCATCTCCCAAGGGACGATCTCATCGGTAGGACTAATGAGCCTTCGATCATCGCTAGAAGCAGTCTTGAATTAGATGACCATCAGTACCACCATTGGTGGACATGCATAGCATTCAGATCGAGGGTTCCAAATGCCTTCAAAACAATAAAAGTTTTAGGCCATACATTAGATATTTTTGGGCACAGCTCATAACACGCTGAGAGTCCTTTTGACAATATTCGTTAACAGGATCCCAACAGCTACACTATAACGTCCGCAGCCTTGAGAATAATCGATGCCACAGCGTGGCACGGCTATGAAAGGAGAAAATGATGAACTTGATAAACATCAAGTTAGCTATGGAGTTCTGGACAGCGATAACGATCCAGAGCCTACCCTATCGTGGGATATGGAATATTGTACAGCGTATATAAAATGAAGCATTTGCATTGTTCTCAGAGAAACGTTTCTTTCTGCAAGTCATTGGAGAGCCACATCCTTACGTGATATGTCGTTTGATTATGCTTGAGTCAGTTTTGATGCAGATGATTAGGATATGTAAGGTGCTACAGAAATTTTTTGTCTATGCAATGTTATTGGTACTACCTCCGTGTTACCAGTGGGGATTGATCTTTGCACGACTCGATAATATCTTCCTTTTCGTTATTTCTGTATCCTCAGGTTTATAACTACCATGACACCATACAGACCGTATCAAGGATTTGATCCAGGCTAGCATACCCCAATTGTCAAGAGATACTGCATGGTGATTGTCATAGAGATCGGCATAGAACTCGATGCCGGGCATTGTCCCGAATGTTTTGTGCCACTCCTCCCACATCTAGTTTTCGTCTCTTCGGAACTCATGTGACTTGACGGCAACGGAGGAGTGTGGAGAGCCTCCGAAGATCGGGAAAAGGCTCACTATTGGCAAGAGGATTGTATAGGAAACTTTCCTCGCTCGAGGGCCCAGGCAACTGGCCCCGAAAATATATGCCATACTGCAACTTCATTACCTCACGTCACTTGCTACGTGCAGAAGTAGTACATGAACGGTTTCTATTTAAATACATCCTGTCTCCACACTTGTCATTATCTGTACGTCATCTTCCCTCCTTCATTCCAGGATGTTTTTCCACCCCTTCAAAAGCATCATAACGACTAACAAAAACACTCAATGAGACGAATTCCATCCACTCCAGCCCCACTCCGCTGCGCAAAAGATAAAACTTGCAACGGATCAATCCCCAATCCACCCAAACACTCCTCACCGATTCAGCTGTGCGCTCCCACCCATGTCCTTGTCTCCTGGTCTTTTGAACCCAATCGCACCGAAAATTCTTCATGTCCTCACACTCCCTCTGCTTTGCACAATCTCAGTCTTCTCAAAATATAGTACAGACAGACAAATCCAGTAGTCAGAATTTGTTTCTCTCTTCTTCAAAGCCATACCCTTTTCCTGGATTTAAAAAATAACAGAAAAGATATGAAGCTCCGGAGACTTTTTCCCGACATTTATGTAGCATTGAAGTCCGAGTCCGAATTCAATTAACAATTCAGTAGTTCCAAAGGCACCCTTAAATTTCATAAAGGGAGTCGAGTTCTCTCCCCTAGTCACTCGTCATCTCGCTCTCGTTCATTTCTCTATCCTCGCTGACTCGAAGCAACGAAGGAAATCACCAAAAAAATGCCGGGAGATGGAACCTACCAAAATGCGGGAAGGAAGAGCGATCGATCGTGTGCCGGAAGAGAGGGAGAAAAGGAAATCGGCGAGAGCAAGGGCCGATGATTGTATAGATGGTAATAATCCGGGCCGTAGGGTAGAGTGGGACCTCGAGGATACGATTGAAGCGGCTACAGCAGGAGAGGGCGTAAAGCGACTTTGGGCGAGGAGTGCGAATCCCCAGTTCTGCAAGAGGTAGGGCGAGTCAACTGCAGGAGGCTGGGCAGAGACATGGTCGACAGGCGAGGCAGGGGAGGGCCGGACCTGCAGTACACCGTACGCACAGTACCCGGTACTACGGAAGGCAAAAGAAGCAGCACTGAATACATACTTTCAATATGCTCAACGACTAGAGGCAGCAGAGCGAGAAAAGCGAATATGAATACGATGTATATACGATGGAGATCATGCAGCTCAGCTACTACGGAGTGGGGAATGAATACACGCACCGTAGATCATGCAGGCCAGCTACTGTGGTAGACACGCCCCGCCCGGACCAGCGCAGAGAGTGCCGGCCATGTTTCGGCCACGTTACCACGTTAGGTGGAGGTCGACATCGACAAGAATAGTTCGTTCGAGTGAGGCTCCGTGAGCGTCTCCTCGCGCTTTGATTCGCCGACGTATTCGAATCTTCTGACAGCTTCTCGGCCGCGGCTCAATCGAGTGCGCGGCTCGGCCTCTTCTTGACCGTCCGATTGTTCGATACTTCGGTGAGGCATTTTCGTTTGAATGTGGACGTTGAGTGTTGGGGAGCGATTCGGGTGTGGACAATTCGCTCGGTTCCGGGCGAGATCGTGACTCGTTGCTGGGATGTGAGTCACTGCGAGAGGACTGAAGATGAGAAGGAAGGAATTTCGGATGAGAATGGAATGAAATGGCATGTCGAATCATCACACGCTCACACGAGTGGGGTTTGAAAGAAGGGAAAAGGTGAAAAGGAACCGTATTCTTTCTCGGTTGATTTTGCATGTCGCCGCGCGGAGGTGGAGACAATCTTGTCTACTTATGATTCGAGGCTTTCAAAGCTGAGGTACTTATCGCCTTCCTTTTTATTCTCCACATCTGACAAGGGTTTATTAATAGCATCGAGAATGATTAGCATGATGGGGAGACGATTGAGGTTACGTATAGGAGAAACTTGTGAAATAGCATACATGTGACTCGTTCTTTCTAGGATTAAGTAAGTAGAGCGCGAATACGATAGCATATGGGATGGGAAGACCCCATCAAGTCGGAATAGACTGCAATTCGTCTATTGACCTGGTTTCGTATAAGTGCTTTCACCTTCGTTCAGGCATTCTTTACATGGACTCAAGAGCATTCAGTTTCTTCAGATTCTTCAAACGTGGCCATGATGCTGCAAAATTGTTTGGTTTGTTCTCTGTCTCACATATGCTCAATATATCTGATTTGCAACTTACTTCTTCAATTTGTCTTTCATCCAAGGCTATATTCACGAGTTTTACGCATTACATGTATTCGGATCTTTTTTGCGCCGTATGGACTTTGTTAAGCTTTCCAGTCTTGTGCGAAGTGATGACTGAAGATTATAATCCCAAAAAAGATGGTATTCCTGTTTGGATGTAACTTCCCGAGAAACATTGCTTTGAGAAACTGTTCTTTCAAAAGAGTCTGACCTAATCTAATGATAGGACAGGTACAAGACCTCGAGGCAGTTGATACGGTGTATGGACCTTCGAGTTTCCAACTAAAAGACGAAATAATATCCAACTTTTTTCTGAATGTTGGGCCCTCTACCGTATGTAAAGAGGGCCTTGACTTAGGGTATGCAAAGAAGCCCGTGCGACGAAGACATGCGAGGACTCGTTCCCAAATAGAAGAGACTAGGAGGCAACTACCCTTCGACTACCTCGATCGCTTTGAAGATTGCAAGACCTAATATCAAGGCTATGAAGAATATCCACGAACGAATTCCTTTGTCCTTGCAATTGATTCAGAATATCAAAGACATGGCGATACCGGTTTCATATGATCTCAACAAATTTGTACCATGCATGAAAAATGGTCGAAACTAAAAAAGATTTTGCCTAGCACTAAAAGAATATCTCATTAACAATTCAAATTAACTTAAGTTAATTTTAATTTTGCAACATATTGGAAAAAATTATACACCCTTTCGGGTAAATCAAAAAATGTGAATATTTTAAATTTATTTTTGTAAAAAATTTATTGATGATTCAAAATTTAAATATTATAATGTAAAAAATTTATATAAAAATATTTTTTTGAAATAATAATTTACATGTCCTATTATCTCTTAGACAAATCAAGTTCATTTTACCGTAAAGTTTCATTGCCAATGAAGATATATTTATGCAATTTATGTGGATAATAACTTTTCATGATTTTACAAATTTGAGAAGTATGCATATAATGCTCTATATCTACAGAACTAACAATCTTCATACATCTTCATGATCACTATGTTTTAAACATCTTCGTGCTATCATTTTTATTTTTGGAATTCCAGAACGATCATGTGTAAAATTTTGTATGATATATGAACCTCTTAAATTAAATTAACTTCAATTCTAACAAAACTAGATAAACTCGTTTTTAACTCGTAAAAGTTGAATTTTTTTTCATATACGATATTTTTCATATGTTTTCATTGCAAAAAATAAAATCAAAACTCATCATGCAAAGTTGTTTCATTTGTTCATTTATTTGACTTTATCATAATATGAAAAAATATTATTCTTTGGCATATGATCACATGTAAAATTTATAAGTATAAAACATATTTTTTATCCTTAATCAAGATAAATTAGTTTGAATATGAATCAACTTTTTTATTTAAGATGCTTGATGAATATCATCTATTAAATTC